TGTTTTGAACATCCTGTTGCGAAACCGTGGTTGGTTGTAAGTTTTCGGGGCGCTCGATTTCGAAAACCCTCAACGAAGACACAGGTTTTCGCAGCATTCAGGGATCCGCGCGCGACGACGGGAGCCCGTGCACATCGCCCCGCTCTATGTTTTGCAATGGCTTCTTGAACAGACACTTTTGAAGATGAAGGAGTACGCGCGCATGGTGTTTTCTGGTCAGGGATGAAAGGGGGGGGTGATTCTGGCGCGGCTGGGGCCATATGACTTCACATTCGGACGGGGCGATGGGGCATAATCTATCATAAATTGCGCGCCCCCAGGGGGGGCTGATAATCCCAGGGGGCGGGGGGGGAGATCCGAATTCCTTATCGAAAAAACAATGTTTGAAAATTAATGGAATTCTCACTTGGGAATCGTCAGCTCCACTGCTCGCGCAATCACCCCATCCACCACCCACAGTTTGTTTTGCACAACCCATGCGGCGGCGATTGCGACGCAAGCCCAGCGCTGGCTTGCGCGTCGCTGCGGCCGCGCTACCGCGCGCAGTCTCGCGCGAAGGGCGGCCAGCTAGTCTGGCGCGACGGACGCCGCCGCGGTGCCGCTGACCGCTAAGCGTTTACCAGCGCGTCTCGCAGGCCGCGCTGACGCGTGGGCACATCAGTGCGAGTCGGTGACGCGGGCTGCCGCGCTATCGTGGCGACGTCGGCAACGGTAGACGCGATCAAGATTGCAGCGATGCTATCGGCAATGGCGACGGTGACGGCGGCACGGCCAATGGCGGCGCCGGTGCAGATCACGCCGACGACGATGATGGTGTCCTCGCGTCGGCGACGAAATTCTTGGAAAGATTTCGACATGCGCGCGCGACCGACGCGCGCGAGTGGCCCGCATGGCGTCGGCATCATTGTTCCTGTGCTGCCTCGGGACAAATGAGGGCCCGCTCGGAGACAGAAGAAAACAACAATGACAAATAATGGGATCGAAATCCGAGAGTCTGGATCCAAGAGCGACCCCTCACGGTCAGAACGCCCTTCCGGACTGCGGTCGTCGGGTGACGCATTGCGTTGAGCCGGAATGGCTGCGGTGTGTGTGTGCGTGTTTGTGCACATGTGTGTGTTTTTTGGTGTGTGTGTGTGTGTGTGTCTGTGTCTGTGTGTGTGTGTGTGTCTGTGTGTGTGTGTGTGCGTGCGCGTGTGTGCGTGCGCGTGTGTGTGTGTGTGCATGTGTGTGTGCGTGCGCGCGCGTGTGTGTGTGTGTGTGTGCATGTGTGTGTGTGTGTTGCACGCCCGCGCGCTCACCAGCCCCGACCTTACTCTGCCTCGACGCTGCGCGCGAGGCCGCGACCGCCAAAAAGTGTGCGCGTGTGTGTCTGAGCGTGCGCGTGCGCGTGCGCTTGTGCGCTTGTGCGTGTGTGTGTGTGTATGTGTGTGCGTGCGTGCGTGCGTGCGTGGGTGTTTGTGTGTGTGCACTGCATGGTATTGTTTCCCCTTGCCGTGCAGTGCATTGCGTTGCGTCGCTTGGCTTTGAACTGCCTTGCATGACTTTGCATTTCGTGTTTGTTTTTGTTTGCACTGCCTGCGCATAGCTTTGCATCACACAGATTGCACCACATGGGTTGCACAGCATAGATTGCGCCACATTGATTGCACCACCTAGATTGCGCCGCACATACTGCAAGAAACCACTGTTTGAGGCCCACGCTAACTAACGTTGTTTTCATGATGTTGTACAATCTGGATGCTTTCGTTGTTCTATAATATTGTTCCCGCTGCAGCGTGGACATCACTTTCGGATCGGCGCTGTGCTCTCCCGTCCCAGCGCGAACCACGTTTGTGGATCCGAGCCCTCTTTCGTCGTCGTCGCCCCCCTCAATTCCACTCCTCCACCTTCCCCTGATCCTCTCGCTCCTCCTACCCCTTCCACCCTAGGTCCTGCTGCTGTTCGTCCTCGTCCTCCTCTTTCCTCATCCACCTCCTCTTTCTCCTGCTCATCCTCCTGCTCACCCGCCACCTACTCCTCCTCCGATGTGCCATGTGCGTAGATCCCCCTTTTCGATTGCACATAGCACGATCCCAGAGCTTCCCCCCGGAATATTTTAACGATTTATGTCTTGGAATTTGACTTAAAAACTTATTTTATTCCCATCCGACATAAAATATACCCCCAACCAAAAAGTCCACGTCCATGCGCTTAGAACCGCGTGCGGCGGAATATTTTATTCCCGAGGCGCCGCTCCGGAATATTTTATTCCCGATGCATAAGCCATATGTAGATGTATATGTACGATGCACATATACAGTGTGCAATCCTTGTATGTGTATGTATATATGCATCATATATACATATATATATATATATATATATATACAGTCCCATATGTGAATGCGCATATATATATATATATATATATACGTATCGTACGCCGCCGTTCTCTGAAGCGAACAGGGGCTTCTCGTAACGAAACGGGGCCCCGCTACCAAAAAATCTGATGGGCCAGCCGTGACGTGCCTACGGGCCTGACGCGGCGGCTATAGCTCCGCTACCATATAGGCGACCTACGGGCCTCGGGCTTACCGATCGAGCCGAAAATGGCTACGAGGAGGAGGAGGAGGAGGAGGAGGAGGAGGAGGAGGAGGAGGAGGAGGAGGAGGGAGAGGAGGAGGAGGGGGAGGAGGACGACGACGAGGACACGGACGAGGATGAGGATGAGGAGGACGAGGATATGTGAGCGTGGAAGGACCGAAGGAGGGGGACGGGAGGAGTCGCGAGGAGGGGGACCCAGTGGAGGGAGAGGGGGGAGGGGGAAGGGAGGGAGGACAGGTTCCGAAACTTAAGCTTTGGACGATTTTCAATCGCATCGGACTGCAGTGCTTTCGTAGCGTTGCGAACGTATGCGAGCAACACGCGGCAGTAGCAGAAGTGGAACGATGAAGAAGGATCGTAGTCGTCTCCTACCCTTCTTGGGATCCTCCATTTCCTTCTCATCTCTCCTCCTCTCCTCCTCTCTCCTCCCTCTCCTCCTCGAATTTCATGTTCAAATGGCATTGGGACGAGAAGAGGGGATAGAAGCACCGTCAACTGAACTCGTTCAGCCTGTAACGCTGCATAAGCAAGCAGCTTAAAGTAGTTGGAAACGCGGATCTGGCCAATTTCACTGCGTTGCCAATCTCATTTTCGTCCCCGTACGCCCAATAAGACCTCGGGCTGTCGTGCAGGGCCGTCTGATCTTCACAGCAATGAAGGAATAGATGGTGTTTGGGGTAGTACCTCCAAAATGTATTGCTTAAATCTTCCTGCATACTTCGCAAGTGGAGCACTCGATATGCAACCAGGTGCTGACGAGCATACGTTGCTAAGAGAGGGGGGGATGTATCGTGGTCCCAGTGCTTCAGATCGGCCGTCTCGTAAACCCGACACAAAGCATCAACGCAAGTGTAGCGAATCTCTGCGTGCGCTGCGCGCGGGCCATCCCGCTTGAAACAGTGCTGAAGCAAACTGCGGACAACGAGCAACATCCGACGCCCTTCAGCGGCCTGCCGCAAGGGATCAAACAAACACGCGCGATGGGGAGGGCGGGTGGGGCAGTGGAGGGAGGTGGGGGGGGGGCATGGGGAGCGGAGAGGGAGAGGTTGATGGGATATGGGGAGGGGGCAGGGTGGGAGGGGAGGGACTCTCGCACGCGAGTTTGATCCCATGCCTTGAGCTTCATCTTTGGCGTCGCTGTTGCAGAAGCCCTAATCATGGTCACTGTGAGGTTGTTGAGCGGCGGGTCGATTTCGAGATGGTGGGCCATCCACTTGACCATGCCAACAAGTTTACCGCAGGTTTCAACCCAACATGTGAACGTACCGCCTAGCTCCAGGAACAACTCCCATACAACGTTACCTAAACAGTATTGTAAAATACCTAGGCATGCACAGTGCATCAAGTCTGCAACCACCATCTCAAGCTTGAAACCAGGCACCGAAAAAAGGCCGGAAAGGTGCTTCTTGGATTGGAGCACATCGTTCAGGAAATCGCTGTGGGAAATCAAAGTCTTGCGCCATGGGGCATCGCCCCCTATTTCTGTCATGTGTCGACGAATGCACCCACATCTAAAACACATGCGGTTGTCCAAGCTTCCTCGGCCACTGCCCCACCCCTGTAATCCCAAACCTTGTTTCAGCCACTGCCAATCGCCCCTGCACTGAATCACCATCCCCCTCACAGCTAGACTCTCTCCGATCCTTCTAGCACGGGCGCGGTCGCCGATGCGTGTGGACTTAGCAAAATCGACTCCATCATGGCGCTGAGCAGGTAGCCGTCCGCACAGCCAGACGGAAACGCTCCAGCGCAGCACGTCCCAGACAACCGACGGAGGGAGAGGGAGTGATAAAGACAGATCGGAGGGCGAAACATGATGCATGAAAGCTGAACGCATACACACTGGACTGATCGAATGGGCATGCATACACATGAGAACTGGAAGAAAAAGGGAGCCTGAAACGTATGCCGACCACTGCACCCACACTGGCAGACAAACTTCTTGGGAAACGCCACGAACCACCATCGCTTGTTCGTTGGTCCAGAGATCGTGTTCCAAAGAAGGAGGTACACGGAGTCGCGAAGGGCGTACGGGGCGCTGTCGCCCCAGATGCCAACGGCAGCCCACTGCTTGCTGGCGTCGGCCCCAAGCTCCTCCAGAGTCTTGGCTAGCATGGTGCGGGAGCCAACCTGATCAGCATCGAACTCACAAATTGCATCTTCAGAGCCAGGAGGCGTGATGGCACTGAGGACCTCATGCGGCAACAGACAATGAATCTTCCCCTTCTTGATCCTCCCTGTATCTGGATCCCAGAACTGCGCATCTGCCTCATACACCTCTGGCAGGCGAGCAGTCTTGCTCAGCCGACGGCACAGATCCCTGGCAGCCGCATGAAGCATTGACAGAAAAACGCTACCACCGCATTTTTGTTTGAGGAATGCCGAATTTCTGAACAAAAATGTTTGGAACACGGGTCCAGTTTTGGCGTTGCCAGGGCATCCAAGGAAGGAACGTTTGGAACAAAAATGTCCTGTGAGCGTTTCTCGTCAATTTGCCACATGCAGTTGCTGTTGGTGCCAGGCTGCAAGACGATCCAGGATGGTCTTGCTGGCACGCTTGAATACCTCGGACGAGCTCTGGTGCGGACAGCTGCCCTCGATTAAACATCTGGGTCATCCACTTCTCAGTGTGAGACCTCTTGGGCGTCTTAAAGGGCGATGGTGCGTGTAACCAGGGAGCCTGGTACTTGAACGCATTGGTACCCCCATCCCCCCAAACACAAATTATAAAACAAAATTGGGTTGAACAGGCCAAGCGCACCTCTGCACCTTGGTACTTGCACCATCACCCTCAGGAGCAAGCCCCAGTCGTTGCCTCACGCCGCGTTTCATCCCCACGCGGAGGGAGGCACCCCCATCGGCTAAATTGCCCGCACCCCGAGCGGCCAAATAGCCTCGAGCAGAAAAACAACTGCACGAGTATATACTGTTCCTTCCCCCCCCCCTAAAATGAACCGCAGGTGCTAAACCGAACGCACCCCCAAAGCACGTCCAGCACTCGCTGTAAGCACAGGCCCCTCACCCCAGGGAGGCTCAGGCTCAGCTCTGGTTCCCCATCTTCTTGACGTCGTTCCAGGTCTTGGAGAGGAACCTGGCTGGTGGCTCATCCTCTCCTCCTTCCCCTCCTCCCTCCAGCCCTCCCCAGGCTCCCTCCCCTCCTCCTCCCCTGGGGAAGGGAAAGGGAGCGAGGGGGAGAGAGGGGGGGAGAGAGAAGGGGAGAGAGAGAGAGAGAGAGAGAGAGAGAGAGGGAGAGAGAGAGAGAGAGAGAGAGAGAGCGAGAGAGGAAGAGGAAGCTAAAGTGGCAGGCGTCAGGGAGCCTGTCGTACGCCTCGGTGAACTTCTTCTTCGCCGTCTCCAGGGTCTGCTTGCACTCCTCAACCTCGCGACGCGGACGAGGAGGAGGAGGGCAAGGATGAGGACGAGGCGGAGGAGGACAGGGAGGAAGTGGAGGACAGGGAGGACGACTAGGACGAGGAGGGGGATGAGGAGGACGAGCAGGAGAAGGAGGATGAGTAGGAGGGAGGGAGGGAGGGAGGAGGAGGAGAGTGGATGGGGGATGAGCGGAGCAGAAGCAGTATGAGCGGCAGCGCCAGCCTCCTCGACGCTCCACTGCTTATTCGAGGCGTCGCCCTTGATGCGGTACAGGGTGTCCTTGAGCTCATCCAGGTTCTTGTGCTGCTCCTCGACCTGACGTCTGCCCTCCTCGTCCTCCTCCTCCTCCTCCCTTTTCCCTTCCTTCTCCTTCTCCTCCTCCTCATCCTCCTCCTCCTTTTCCTCCTCCCCCTCTCTCAATCCCACCCTCCCTCCTCCCCCACCCTCCTCCTCCTCTGCCTCCTCATCCTCCCTCCCTCCTCTCCCTCACCGTCCTTCAGCTTCTCTTACTCCTCCTCCCCCTACTCCTCCGCAGTCTCTTCCTCCCCTCCTCCTTCCATCCCCTCCCCTCAGCTCTCCCTCCGGTTTTCCTATCTGATATTCATCATGTTGCTGCTGCTGCTGCAATGACCTGGGTGTCCAAGAAGTTGCTGAGCGCGTCTGGGTACTGGCGCTCCTTGAGCCCCTCTTTGATCCACTTCACCTTGCCAAGCTCGTGGGACACGTTGATCGTGACCTTCTCGACCTCGTTGATCGCTTTGTTCTTCTCCGCAACCCGCGCCTTCTTCGCCTTCTTCTCCTTCTCCTCGGGGGTCTCCTCGGGCGGATCGGGGGGGTCCTCCTCGCCCGTCTTCGGCTCGGGCTTGTCCAGCAACGCGGCGGCGGCATCCCTTCAGGCGAGTAGGGTGGGTTCGAGGAGCAGGAGGAGGATGAGGAGGAGCAGGAGGAGGAGGAGGAGGAGGAGGAGGACTCCAGCTAGGGGGGTCCTCTTCCTCCTCCTCCTCCATCTCCGCCTCCTTCCTCCTCCCTCATCCTCATCCGCATCCTCATCCTCATCCTCATCTTCCTCCTCATCCTCCTCCTCCTCCTTCTCCTCCTCCTCCTCCTCCTCCTCCTCCTCCTCTCTTCCATTCGGGCCTCTTGCGACTCTTGCCCAGCTGCAGCTTCGACTGGCCGTTCTTGGAATCCAGCATCGCCTGCGATCTCTCTCTCTCTCTCTCTCTCTCTCTCCTCCTTCTGCTCCGGTTTTTTGTTGTTCCCCTCTCGTCCCTCCCCTCCCGTCTCGTCCTTCCTCCACCACTCCCCCGTTCGCCTGGCGTATCTGCTTGTACTGGTCTCCCGTCATCTCTGCGTCCTTCACCTCCACCTTGGATTTGTCATCCGTGCGCTCGAGCTTCTCGAGGATGGTCCACGAGAACTTATACTGAAGGATGTCCTTGGCTCGCATGCTCTTATACTCGTGGGGTCTATCCTCCAAGTCGCCCGACTCGACCAGGATCTTCGCGTGCTCGGGATCATTAAGGTATTTAGGTCCTGCCAGTTGCGACTGCGTTACCCAAACGACCTTCTCCTTGTCTTCGTCGCGCTTCGTGATCTCCGTCGACCCGCTCGCGCCGCAGGAGCCGCAGGACGGGTCAACGAGGAACCTGGGCTCGGCGGGGGTGGGAAGGGTGGATGATGAGGAGGAAAAGAAGGATGGGGGGGAGGATGAGGAAGGAGAAGGAGGATGAGGAGGGAGCAGGAGGAGAGGGAGGAGGAGGGAAAGGATACGAGAGGATGGGAGGGGCTTCCATGCCCTTAGAACTGCGCCGCCCACGTTCGGCGGTCCTCGTCCTTCTTCAGCTCAGTGAACTGCTTGGCCTTGCGAGTACAAGGGCGGCCAGAGGAGAGGGAGGAGGAGGAGGAAGCAAATAATTTTAAGAGAGATCGAAACTGGGATGCCTTGTCCTTGTCGGTGATGCTGAGGGAGTACCTCAACGCGCCGTACACGTCGCGCCTGAGGGCAGCAGGTAAGCCCTTGAAGTCCTGTCAAGGAGGACGGTCATTTAAGGTATAAGCGCATCTTGGAGCCAACGTGTCTTCAGGCTCTTTAGGATCCTACTTCCCATGGGGCACCTGCTGGGGGGGCCGTCATCTACCCTAAATGACCGTCCTCAGGCGTCACGTCCGTGAGCGCCTTGTTCACCTCCTCCAAGGCTTTCTTGGCCTTCTCGATGGCCTATACTAGTAGAGCGAGCGCGAGAGATAGTGAGGAGGCGGAGGGGCAGGGAAGTAGGAGGAGGGTGAAGCCTTCGGCGTTTTCGGCGCGGTCTGGCCCTTCTTCGCCATGGCTCGCGCGGCGGTGTCTGAAGCGGAACCAAAAGTGCGTCTTGGCTCCTGGAGCGGGCGGCGGGGCAGCTGGAACAGCCCGGAAAAGTCCCGGTACCGGAACTTCGGCAGACCAGGGAAACCAACGACAGGAAATGTCTGAAAAAATGTCTGAAAAAATGTCTGAAAAGTTCACCGAACCCTGTGTTTTCACAGCTAAAATCACTTTCAGACATTTTTCCGCCATTTCAAATGTCTGAAAAAATGTCTGAAAAATGTCTGAAACTCTCGAAAACCTATAAAAAAATCAATAAAAATCAACGATTCTGCCATTTACAAAATGTCTGAAAAAATGTCTGAAAAGTTAACCGAACCCTGTGTTTTCACAGCTAAACTCACTTTCCGCAATTTTTTTCAGCCATTTCAAATGTCTGAAAAAATGACGGATTTCGGTGCGACTCTTCCCCGCGAGGCGCAGCGCGCCTCAAATCCACGGCCCCCGTGCCCGCCACAGGCGAGCTCTAATCTAAAAATAGGGCCCTGGGAAACTATTGGGTGGCGGTGCCATCCTAGCGGAACTTCGGGAAGGGGTGACGAACGAATCTCTCAGGGCTCTGGCTTGAGGAAGCTGAAGTGCGCCTGCGGGCGAGCTTGCCTGCGCGCACGACGGTCTCGTCGAACTCGGAGGTCGAGGCTCTCTTCGGGATGTTATCTGGGGCCTTCGAACTCAAGTCGGGCTCGCGGCATGGTGATGGGCTGAAGTCGGGCTGGCGGTCAGGTAGAGGAGACTCTGGATCACCATCAGCGCCATCTTTCTGCAGATGGGGGGGGGCGTTTATCGGGGAGAACGAGAAATGTTCTTTCGGGATCGCAGAGCGAGGAGGAGGATGAGCATGAGGATGGGGAGGAGGGCGAGGAGGAGGTTTAAGAGTGAATGAGGAAGAGGGAGAGGACTAGGGTGGGATGGAATTAAGAAGAGGAGGAGCAACAGCAGCAGCATAACGAGGAGCAGCAGGAAGAGGAAGGGGAGGGGGGGCAGAGAAGTGGATTTGGGGATGGAGGAGGGGAGAGCGCGGAGGAGCAGGGAAAGACCAGAGGGTTAGGGAAGGAAGGACGAGGCCGAGCCTCGCTGTCGTCTTCCCCGACGGGCAGCGCCGACACCGCTCTCTCGCACTCCGCGGCCGTGGGGTTGGGCTCGAGGTAGGCCGACAGGAACGTTCCTGGTGGCAGGGGCCGCGGGTGGATCTCCGACGCCACTGGGGCCTTGGGGAATCTGAGGAGGACGGGGAAGTGGAGGGGGAAGGGGAGGAGGGGGAGAGTAGGATGGTTATAAGGGGTGGGACGGCGACGACGACGGGGCAAGCCTCGTCCGCGTCACTCAGCTCGTGCACCTCGTTGGGCATCACGCGCATGAGTCGAGGGGCTCCCACTGGATGACCTCCAGCTTCCAGTCCGAGCATTTCTTCGTGGTCGAAGTGGGGAGGCAACCAAGGCCCCTGGGGATGAGGTAGGAGGAACAGGAGGGGAGGGGGGAGGAGGGAAAGGAGGAGGAGGAGGAGGAGACGGCAGAGGAGGAGGATGAGGAGGAACTTACGAGGAGGCGGAGGATGAGGAAGAAGATGATTCGGCCTGGGACTCGTCGATGGATTCGTCGACGGCCGCGGCTGCGCTGGCAGCCGAGGCCTTGGACTGGCACGGAGAGCGGGGGAGGGAGGTGGAAGGGGGGGCGGGAGAGGGAGGGGGAGTGAGAGAGGGGGGGGGGAGGGACGGGACAGGGGGGGAGAGAGGGAGGGGGGGAGGAGCGGGATAGGGAGTGGGAGGGGGAGGGGGTTGGCAGAACAGGTTTGGGATACAAGGGAGGGTTGGAATGAGGACGTGAAGGTGAGGGGATGAGAGGGTATGTGAAGGAGGGGGTGCGGATCGAGTTTTTTTTTTTGCAGTCGCCTCCTCGTCCAGCGCAGCGTTCACCCTGAGCTCCTGGTCCGTCACCTCCTGCCCGCTCTGGTCCACGTTGCAGCCGAAGCACATCGAGTCATAGTACGTGCTGTACACGTTGTTGCACAAGTTGCATTTCCACTGCCCCTGTAGAAGGCGGCGTCAAAATGAGGGGCGAAGAGAACCCCCCCTCGCCGCAACAAAAACCAACAAAACAATATCCTCTGGCATCCCGTCAGTCGTGGTGCGCCACGTTCCCGCTAGGTTGGCGCCAACAATCTCGCAATCGGGGATGTCGTCGTCAGGCATCTTGCCTGATCGACTGGAGCCCAAATCCCCACCACGCACCGTTCCTCCGCCGACTCCTAACCACCAACCCACAACACAAAATACAATTTCAGAGAGCGGAGTCGACGTAGGAACGAGTCGTTGGGGGGCGGTTCGGAGATCGGACGAGCCTGCAACCAGAAGCAACTCGACCGATCGCAATGGCGCGCGCGGCCGAGGGGGGGCTGCCGACTAGTCTGATTCCTCCCCTACAGACTTGAGGCAAAACGCCACTGGGGAACGACACCTCACAGAAAGACGCCTCCCATACTTGAGGCGGAAAGCTCCCAGGGAATGAAACCAATCCTCTAAGACAAACTTGAAATATGGGGCCACGGCAACAATTGAATTTGCAGCAAACGCTGCATGCATGGAGGGGTGGTCGGAAGTTCCTGAATGGAGAGTGGGATGGGAGGGGATGGAGGCGGTTGCAGGCGGGGTTGAAATAGGGACGGGAATGCAGTTTTTGTTTCCCCCCAACCTCGCCCTAATCAGCCCACTCCCCCACCCCCACCTCCTGCCACCTCCTGCCCCTCCTCCTGCCCCTCCTCCTGTCCTCCTCCTCCTCCGTCTCCTCCCACCCCCTGCCCCCCTTCCCCAACTCATCCGTCCACTGCCAGATCGGGGTGAGGGCAACTTCTGTTTTGTGCGGTGCACAGCCAGCAGGGGCGGGTGAAGCGGGATCAAGTTCGATCCCCCCCCCCCTTCGGTTCCCCCGACGGGGCGTTCAGGCCCAGCTCAATGGGCGTCCCTGAAGAGCTTGGCCTTGTCCCGAATCTCCTGCACGAGCTCGGGCTCGAGGTCCTGGCTGGAGGGGGAGTGGGGTGAGAGAGGCAGGGGGGAGATCGAAGCGCTCCTTGATCTTCGTGTTCGCGGGGATCTTCAGGTCGTCGACGCTCCGCCTCATCATCTCGGCGACGTGCTTGGCCACGGCCTGGGGCGGGGCGGAGAGAGAAGGATGAGGAAAAAGGTGGAGGAGACGAGGAGGGACTGGCCTCGATCGAGCGGTCCACGGCGCTCGAGCGCGTGACGGACGAAATCTGCATTTTGTCCTTGGTGTTCGTCTGGAGGAAGACAACGTACGAATCACCGTGGCCCTTCGCGCGCACAAACGTCGGGGGTACCTCGCCTGCTTTAGTCTTCTTTTTCTTGGGCTCTGCAGGTGGCGCCTCGTCGCTGTCATCAGGTTTCTCCTCAGCTTTCTCATCGGCAGGTTTCTCCTCGGCTTTCTCCTCAGCTTTCTTGGCAGGTTTCTCCTCAGCTTTCTCCTCAGCCTTTTTGACAGGTTTCTCCGCAGCCTTCTCCTCAGCTTTCTTGGCAGGCTTCTCCTCAGCCTCGGCGCCAGCTGGTCGTTTCTTGGCAGGTGGTTCGTCATCGCTGGCTTCTGGCGCCTCCTCTGCCTCCTCATCTTCGTTATCATCGTCCGCACTGGTCGCAGCTGGTTTTTTCGAGGCAGCCTTTCCCTTTGCTTTCGCCTTCCCCTTCGCCTTCCCCTTTGCTTTCGGCTTTGCTTTCGGCTTTGCGGGCGCATCTGGGGTGGGCTCCATCAATACCCCATCTTTTAAGTGGTCATTCATCACCTCGAGCTCCTTCTCTTCGCCATCGGGGTACACCGCGATGATGAACCCCCTGGGGAAACAGTACGGGTACAGTCGGGGCACGGCCAGAAGGAACGCTAAATAAGGAACGAAGGGGCTTTTATGGCCACGGCGGACCTCGAGCACGAGCAGGTTCCCCAACGCTGGCCCAAGGAACGGCCCAGAAATAGAAGCCCCTCCCGAGCCAAAGGTGTTCCTTATTTCAGTGCGCTGACTGTAGGAAGAGGAGGAGGGTCGAGGATGAAGAGGAGGGTCGAGGATACGTAAGGGGGATTCGAGGATAAGAGGATGAGGATGCGGAGTAGACGAGGAGGAGGATGAGTAAGGAGGCAGACTATAGAGGGACGAAGGGGGGGACGAGGGGGAGTGAGAAGAGGGATGAGGAGAACGAGGATGAGGATGAGGAGGAGGATATGGTGTGGAGGAGCAGGGGCCCAGGAAGGAGGGAGGAGGAGAAGGGGGAGGCGATCACTCCTAGGGCCGTGCTTCAGCGTGCCGTTTTTGCTGTGGCCGTCCGCATAGAGCGCGACCGCCTGGAAGGGCGAATGGGAGGGGGATGCGAGGAAGAGTGAGGAGAGAGGGTGGATGGAGGAGCGAGGACTCGGAGGAGGATGAGGAGGAGGAGAAGGAGGAGGAGGAGCAGCAGCAAGGACAAGAGCAGGAGGAGGGAGGAGGGAGAGGACCTGCTGCCCGTTGAACCATCGAGCGACAATGTGCTTGGAGTCTGGGTCGTCGTCGGTGTCGACGTCGTCGTCGATCGAGTGCTCGTCGGCCGAGTCGTTGCGGAACGCCGCGAACGGGTTCTTGATGACGACCGCGGCAGGCCTGGCAGTAGGAAGGAGATAGGCAGATGAGCAGTGGAGGGGGCGAGGAGGAGGAAGACAAGGACGACGACGGTGGAGGAGGGGAGCTCATAGGCACGAGTGGCACGAGTAGGAGTAGGGAGGATAAGAGGAGGTCGGTTGTTTTGGAATTGGCTCCTCTCCCCTCCCCCCTCTCCCAAAAAAAATAATTAAAAAAAAAAAAAACAAAAATCTCCCCTCTCCCCTCTCCTCTTCCTCCCCCCTTAGCTCTTAAACTCTCCTTTCCCTCCTCCTTATCCTCCTCATCCTCCTATATTTCCTCGATCCGCCTCGGCGAATGCCTTCCGCTGAGGCTCCC